TAGTGGGGTTTCCACCAAGAACAAACCTGATAACCTGTGTGATTGGGTTACTGACCCTCCGGTCATCCAGAGACCCCGAGATGCGGACGTAATTTGGTGTTGGGACATTGTCCCTATGTCGAAACGTCCGCATTCATGTCGGATATAGTTTTCCTTTAGATTTCAATGGTAAATTCATTTGATTGGTTCTCACGTTCATCAAAAATTTTAAATGCCGTAAATCTCCCAAAAATCAAATGAAATGTGTTTCTCAACTAAACGATGCAGAATATAACTGTGTTGAAAAAAACCACACAGAATCTGATCTTCTAGCATCGAAAAGACCCCAAAAACAAAGAAAAAGTACAAGTCTTGATATCCTGTGCACAGATGATGAAGAATTCTAAAAAATAATACACTGTAATCACAACATTAACCTTTTTGATTATAAATTGCGAACAAAATTCAATTTTGACTTCTGTGAATATGTATAGCTCAATTTTTCAAGAGATATAGAAATTATGAAAAATAAAAATTTTACCAGAAATGTTGGAAAAGTGTTTGTAGGTTGAGATTTTGTCTGGATGTTGGGTCTGATTCTTCAGCATTTCAAGCGTCCCCAAGTTGAATCATTTGTATGTCAGGGTGTCTCTATTTTGGGGTCATACTGTATGATCCACAACTTTCCAGAAAGCCTTCATTTCCATCACAATGCACAACTCTCCACGATTTAACTGTTCATCCATGCATGGCTTTGAAATTGAGGCAATAATCATTTATGATTTCTTCCAAGGTCTTGGTGGAAGTACGGTACTTGCCTCAGAAAATTGATGCAAACTCTCTCTCTATTCATTTCAAAACTCTTTGAGGGTCTACAAATGGTATTTTATTGGGTCAGAAGTGGAAATAAGAACTTGAATTGGGCACAGCGTCTAATCATGGATCAGCATGTGGGAAAGATAAATAAACTAGGTGAACTACTGTATTTGATTTTCATACAGTGTCTTCAACAGTATATTTATAGAATTTTATTCTCAAGTAAGACACCTACCCCATTTTTAGTGCCCCTAAAAGTGAAATATTCAAAAATATGAACATCCAAATTTGATTTCAGATACAAATTGATCCTGAATTCAACTAATTTTCAATTATTACCATTCCAATGAGTCTTTCTGCTAAATTTGGACCAAAATTCCACATTGGAGTCAAATGCCGTGAAAGTCACACTTGAACTTCTATAATTTGTTAAAAAGATTTATACACATTTTCCCTTCAAAATTTCAAGAAAAGGGTACACGTGTTTAAATAAATATGGTAGAGCTCTGATGAATGCCAAATAGCAATGGCTTTTATTTGAACTTGGCTTTAAATTGTGCTTTAATCTTGTTTCAGTAATTGCCTTGTGCTGCAATTCTTTTCACTGACATTTTGTTTTTGTTATCAGAGAAGGGAAAAAAGTTTATG